ACTTCTTCTCAATAACCAAAAGGCCCAGGGTACTGATATTGGGCCTGTAGCATGCTGGGATGAAGGACTATCAAGTTTGTTCAACTGAATGACCTTGACCAACTTTCAAGGTCACAGGGGTCAAATGTCGTAAAATCTTCAAGCGACTTCTTTTCAATAAGCAAAAGGGCCAGGGTACTGAAATTGGGCCTGTAGCATGCTGGGATGAAGGATTACCATGTTAGTTCAAATGAATGACCTTGATCCACTTTCAACCTAATGTCCTTGTTCGACAATCAAGGTCAGAGGCGTCATATGTTTAAATCTTTTAATAGGTTCTTATGAAATCTTAAGACTACAAGTGTTAGATTAATAACAGGTGAGCGATGCAGGCCCATTGGGCCTCTTGTTATTTTTGTCAGCTCCCATTTAAGGATAAATCATTTCTGAAAAGAAAACTATACATTGCTGGATTTTTATGCAAAAATCATAAGTATGAAATTAACCAAAATTAATACAATAAACAGTGTTCTCGGTGTAAGAGAGCTAGAATGTGATTGTTATACTTTCCCGCTGACCTACATCAGCCTGGTTAACAGAAGTGCCATGGCCTGACTTTGCTACAGTTGCATCTAAATAGAAATTAAGGAGAACTTACTGTATATGAACAACCACAGTGCATTGGGACAGGGATCTTTAGGCCAAAGAACTAGGTGACCATAACATGCAGTGATGCAGAACTTGTTCTTTTTCCATCCACATATTTTCGTTTAAAAATTACTTATCAAGAACAGCTGAAGAGGAATGTGTATTGTTTGCTGACCTGCCCGAAGGACAAGTGAGCTTATGTCATGGTGCATAAATCTGTTAACAGTTGTCGTCTGTGTCGTTGTGTAATTTCATACAAAATATAGTCAAACTTTATTAAATGACCACTTTTATTTCACAACCGCTTTTTAAGTCACCTGAGACAAAGTCTCAAGTGACCTATTGCGATCGCCTTTTTGTCGACTTCTCAAAAACCCCTGAACCAATTTCAATGAAATTTTGCAGAAACCTTCCATGGCCATAGGTCAACCAAAATTGTGAATTATATGGTCCCCAGGCCAAAAAGGGTCAAATTGACTAAAATTTCAAAAAAAAATCTTCTCAAGATCCAGATATGGTAGAATCAAATACTCTTCATAGATGGATGGGTCTTAAGGTGGTTTACCAAATTTGTGAATTTCAAGACCATGGGGTCTCAAATTTCCCCCTGGGGAGAGGGTAAACTTTACTATAGTTTATATAGGGAAATCACATTTTGGACCAACATTTGTTTGATTTCCATTGGAAGTAATTCATTTTGGGTTAGCATTATCAGTATTGGAAAGCAGTTTGATTGTATGCACATATCAGCCCTGATTGACCCTGAGGGGCTGATGGGTGGGGCTAAAACTGGTCAAATTGACTGAAACTTCAAAATCTTATTCTCAAGACCCAGATATGGTAGAATCAAATACTCTTCATAGATGGAAGGGTTTTAAGGTGCTCTACCAAAATTGTTAATTTCATTACCCTGGGGTCTCACATTTACCCCTTGGGAAGGGGGGGGGGGCAAAATTTATTATGGTTTATATAAGCAAATGATGCTTTGGATATAACATGTTGATAACTTGATTGGAATTATAACTCTGAGTTGAAAGTTTGATACTTTTAACATTTTGAGACGGCCCTACCCCTCAGGACCTTAGGGCGAGGCTCAAAGGAGTCAGTGTGCTAAAATTTCTTTATTTTCCTTGTTTAAAATCAGAGGTGCTAGTTTCAAATACTTTTCAGTCTTAAATCTGTATGCTAGATATTGAACAAGGTGGTTTTGACTTTGAATATTATTTCTGTTCCTGTTTTAAAAACAAAAATCAACTCTTTCTATAAATATATCAGAACTCAGATGACCGCTAAGGCCCATGGGCCTCTTGTTTAATTTCCCTTGGATGGTTACTTATTACAGATTCAACTGTAATAAAACAGATAAGAGAAAAGAAGAGAAAAGATAACACTAACATATAACTTTTGAAGATGGTGGAATGGTGGGCGCCATGCAAGATCCCTCTGGGATCTCTTGTTTTATTTTATGCTTACCTGCACGAAGGGCGCAGCTTCCTCTGTCCGTCAGTCCAGTTAAGAAGAATTATTCTTGTTTATGAATACTTTACTACAATTGCTACCCCTTTGATACTTTCATGATTGATGCATCTGGGGTGGCTCTTCTGAGTGCATATTGCGGATGCTGAATTTGACCTACATTTCATGCTTTGGTGACTTGGTAACCAACAACCAGTTGTTTTTATATTGACTTGTATACTATGAGCGGGGGACATCGATTATGCGGCTGACCATGGTGTGACCAGGCATAACTAGGATTTGACACTATAATATAATGATGTATTCCTATTGATAACAGGCCTAGGTAGCCTCTTTCAAAGGTATAGGAGGCCAGCAAAGACACAGTGCTATGAATCATGACTGTTTAGCTTCACCATCAGAAAAAGACTGGGCAGTTAACTAAAATTATTAGTACTCTCCTTATTTTAATAGAAAGGAAGCAATACCAAATATGGCATACATGTATATAACTAAGGTAAAGAGGGGAGACCATCTGTTTGGGAGATCCTCTGTTTACTGTGTTGCTGTCAGGTCAGTAAGGTTATGGGAGGTCAGAATGCCCGGCTGGCTGAGCTTGAGATAAGAATAATCTTGACCCCTGCATTACTCATTGGTTGGATGCATGTCCTTTTATGACCGGTGATTATGACCTGCAGATAGGGGAGAAGTCTTGTGATAAGACCGTCTAGCCCCCAGATGGCCCTGTGAATTAAGGTTTAGGTTCTGTGATACTTAACTGTTAAGAACACAAGTTAATAACCAGTCTGAAGCAAAAATTGCAAAAATCAAAACCTGAATGCGATAATAAATACAGTTGTACCAGGCTGAAACAATACCCATAAGTAAATGTTCATAAAAGAGTACATAAATGTCCATAACCAGCTGTCTGTAAAAGTAACTTTGATAGTAATTTCTTGTGAATTACATAATTATTTAGTTAATAGTGAACATTTGCCTGTGATGAATTCATTGTTAAAAAGTTATTTTTACTGGCCCTGTAATATTTAATGTTGGAATTTCTTGAATCCGCTATTGGCAACTAAAGGTTGTAGTTGTACGTGTAATTATACTATGTTATCAAATTACTGTTAAAATGTTGAAAGGAAATCAGGGAAGACAATCAAGATACAAACATTTTAATGACTAAACAGTAAGTTATACATACAGTTATTGCTTTCTTTCTGTTATGAAATACATAGTAATATACCTTTCTCTACCAATTACCACCATCTACCTTTTAATTTCTCAACATGTTTAAATAATGTATACATAAGTTCCAGTATAAAAAATATGAAACTGAGGTTCCCTCTTAAGCCGAGTTAGCCATGCACTGCTGCCGATTGTTACACTGAAGAAATTGTGATAAGCGTAAATCAACCCCAGTGAATAAGTTTCGAAAACAAAATTGCATAATCTTACAGCCACAAAATTAAACAACTATGCAGTATAAAAATGTGTGATATTTTCATACCAGGTAGTTTTGAAATATTACAAGTATTTTTTAACTTAAGTCATTTCTGGAAATCTTCTTATGAAATGATATTAA